GGGGGGGGGGGGATCCACCCCCACCCCACAAGGAAAGCACAGTCTACTGTGGGTGGAACTTAAGGTGCCAGCCAGCTGAAGGATGGCCACCCCTGTGGTCACCAAGACGGCCTGGAAGTTACGTGAGTGGTTTTCTTTCTCATCCCATTTACCCTGATAGCTGTTTGCTGCTGGGTGGCCTGAACCCCCAACTGTGTCTCCAGTTCTTGGCACAGGGGGAGACTCCACGCTTTGGAGTAAAGTAGACCAAGATGCAAATCATGCCTTTGGCGTTTTGTAGCTGGGTGACATTGGCCGGGTGACTTAACCTGTCTGAGGCTTAGTTTCCTGTCTGTGCTAGGAGATAATCACGTCTCCATTCTAGAGTTGCTGTGAGATTCAAGTGAGAAAATGAACATAATGAAGCACTTAGCAGGATTTCCAGTTAGGCTGGCAGGCGGGATGGGGCAAGAAATCCTGAAAGATGTTCTTGGCGTTTTCAGCCGTCCACAAGTCAAGCTCCCCCGTCAAATGAGGGCATCTTGGGCTGGGGGCTGGGGTGAGAGGATAGGCAGATGGATGCTGATAGCCTCTGGAATGTGCCTGAGCCCGGGCCCCACCCACCCCCACCGTTACTCTATACTGACAGCTCTAAACTCTTTGGTCTTAGGACACCTTTATGCTCTTAAAAATTATTGAGGACCTCAAAGAGTTTTTGTTTATGGGAGTCATATCTATCAATATTTACCATGTTAGAAATTAACACTGAGACATTTTAAAACACAAGAACGCAGAAACATGCCATTAGTGATGATGTCCTCACATGTCATATATCTCCTGGAAAACTTCACCATATTCTTGTGAGCAAATGAGAGTATAAAAGTCAAATTCCATCTTAGTATTATGATAAAAGTAGTTTTGTTCTCTTGGACCCCCAGAAGGATCGTGAGGATCCCAGTGTTCTCCAGATCGTATTTTGAGACCTGTTGCTCTACACGTTGGTGCTTCTGTGGGCTGTACCCTGCCTGTAATAACGGGTTGGCATAGATCTGGTGTGTCCAAACTGGTCACCCTCTGCTATGAGCTGCCCCTGGGCTGTTTTCAGAAGCTGGGGCAAGGCTCCTTCAATTTTTTAACTGTGAGAATCTGGGCAAAACTCTTTGCTGGGCCTCAGCATCCTCATTTGTAAATGAGAGGTTTGGGCCATTTTCAAATTGTTCCTCAGCCCTAGGGTTCTGGGGGAATCCTGTTATGGGCTCCCAAGGAGGGTATACTTTGGACAGAGTGGCTTTGTATTTATTGGAGTTATGAATGTATACCTTCAACAGCTGTTTTTCCTGAGAAACCAGGAAAGAACCAGGCACTGGGGAGACAGTGGGGGACAGAATAGACAAGGTCCCTATGCAGTGGGACTCAGAGCCTGGGGAGAGCAACAGGCAGGAATCAGATAATCACACTGACCCATCTCTCCTTGGAACCTAATTCCAAGCTGGAACAGTTAACAGTTGTGCTTTGAGTCAGTTAACTAGGTGATGAGGGGTGGGGGTAGGGGAGTGCTGTAGGCTGCCTAAACAGCATGTGCAAAGGCCCTGAGGCAGGAAGCTTGGTGCATTGGAAGGCCTCAGAAGAGGCCATGGGCTGCAGCACAGCAGTGGGGAGAATGTGGTATCACATACGCTGGTAAGGACATGTGTCTACAGGACCCCAGCCCTTCTGAGGTTTTGGCTTTATCTGAAGGGCAAGGCCAAGCCCTCAGAGCATTCAAGTGGGAGGTGATGTGATCAGGCATGTTGGGCATCTGCTGACAATTTCATGTGCACAGCAGTTTCCATGGGTATAAACTGTTTGAGAGCCCAAGCGCAAATGACCTCTGGCTCCTTGTGGCTCTAGAGTCTGGGGAGGATCAGAACGTGCTTGGCCAGCGTGAGGTCCTTGAAACCTAGTTCTTTGCGTCTTCTGTTTGGGGTGCAGGTGCGCAGTGCCTCTGGCCAGAATGCAGTGTTCCCCCAGCTCTGGCTGGGATGTGGGGTCCAGGTTGTGCCACCTGAGCTTGGGAAACTAGCATGGGCCTGTGCCACAGGGTAAAGCAGCAGCCATCAACCTGGCCTGCTGTGAGGATTTTTGTTTGTTTTTATTTGTTTGTACATTTAAATTCAGTACCCAGGCCTGGACCATTGCTGGATGCTGTCCTTCAGGCCAGAGTGGGAGCTCTTGGGCCAGTGCCCTATGCCGAGGCCTCTGCCTGGTGCCTGAAGTGTGCCCCCCTTTCCCCACCCCACCCCCCGGTCCCTCCAGGGCTCCAATCAGCCCCCTGCTCAGGCTGCTTGCAGGGGAGTGGTCTGAGCCCTTCTAGAAGGGCCCAACCTTGAAATTCTTCTCACCCTAAAGTCTGTGGTTCTTCAGGCTGGATGCCCTGTTTCAGGGACCATCTGATCAGGCTGGAGTGTGAAGACAAGAACCTTATCACTATCCCTACCCACTGTCTCTTACTGCCCAACCTAGAGCAGGTACCCAGGAAACATTTATATCATGCATTAATGGCTGTCTCTGGGGGCAGTAGTCCTGAGGTGCAGAGAGGGGTGGCAGTGCACCCAGGAGGCCCAGTGCAGTGGGGGCCAGCCAGGACTTTGCCTGGGAAGGGTGAGAGCCGGGGTGGGCAGTCAGGCCTCTAGGTAGGTCACACACACACAGGGCAGCGCATGCGGGGAGTGTCTTCAGGGAAGGGGAGAGGACCCCAGGCTGGGGATCAAAGTGCTCAGGGGGAAGGTGGTTTGCCCTCTAGCTGGGTTGGGCCATCAGTTTGGCCCAACAGAAGCTCTTGAACATATAAGTGTCTGTGACCAGAGCCCCAGAGCATCCAGGCATCTGTCCCTACAGTGTCCAGAGGACAGAAGGCTCCTTGGCTGAGGTGCGGACCAGAGAGAGGCCCAGCTTTCTCGAATCCAGTGGTGGGGTCCCCAAGGCCCTGGCTCAGGTTTGTGCCTGCTGGGAGCTCTCACCCTGCTGGGGCTGGCCTAGCCGGGCCTTGACGTGGGGTGTTGTCTGTGAGGTCAAGCCTGGAGCCTGGTGCCCTGGGCAGCTCTGACAGCCCCTGTGAGCCACGCCACCTGGCAAGCATCCCTCCTGGGCCCAGCTACCCAACCTTCCTGCCATCTGAAGCGGGCACCACAGAGACCCCCAGGCAGGGTGGAGGCCAGAGCAGGTGCCCAGGAGGGGTCTCTGCAGGGCAGCCGCACCGGCCTCTCCCTCAGAGTCACCCACGCTGGCCTCGCAGCTGCCTCAGGGTGTCAGCGCGTTGGGGTTTTCTCTCATCTGTATGGGGAGACCTGTTTCTTCCCTCTGCGTTCTCAGGAGCAGCTACTCAGGCCCTGGCTCAGAGGCCTGGGCTGCCTCTTGGTTCCTTGCCCATGTTTTGTTCCCTGGAGGCCCTGGCAATGTCCTCTGAATCATACGTCTGCTGCCCCCCGCAGTCCAAGCCAGGGGCCCTCGTGGCCGCCCACAGTGACCTTGCCTCCCACTCTGTCCGGTCGGCCCTCATACCTAGACCCCTCAGTTGGCTGCGTCCTGCTCCCTCCTCACCCAGCCCACCCTCCTGTGCCCTCCTGGGCCCCAGTGCCCGCTCTCCATGGCGTCTGGTACTCGGCCTGCCAAGCAGCCGCGAGCACTCAGCCCCTCGCAGCAGCCCACAGGCATGTCCTCACTGAACCCTCAGTAGCCCAGTGAGCCAAGCACTGCTATTATCCCCATTTACCCGATGAGGAACCCAGCACTCAGAGAGGGTGAGCAACTTGTCTAAGGCCATACAGCTTGCAATAGCAGAGCTCAGACCAGAACCCAGTCCATGATTCTGAAGCTGCGGGCTGAAGCCCTGGCTGAGCTCACCTGGGGACGGCTCGTCTGTGGTTGACCTGCACGGTTCTGAAAGTGTGTTCCCCAAAGCAGGAACACCAGGCGGCAGCTGAGAGACACTTAGGTGGTACATGGGTCAATATTTTTTGTTTTAATAATTGTTTTCATTTTTCTTTTTGTATCATAGAAAAAATAGAATGAACACATCAAGCTTAAAATTTCATGCATATTATTACTTAAACGACACAGCTAAATAAAGATAGCAAGTCAGTTTTAAAACTTGAGCATAGTAAGTCAATAACAGTACCTGTGGCTATACAGAAAAAGGAAAAAAATCATGAGGCCTAAGGGAAGGATGGAAATGACTGAAGTTGAGAAATAGTCATTTCTGTCTCAGGCCCAAACGCTGCCTCGTCCCACGGCTCATGGGGGTGTCTGGGCACCAAAGGGGAGCCGCAGGGGGCAGAGCCCTCCCGCTCAGCTTCGGGTGCCAGGGCTGGTGGCCGAGCAGGGCAAGGCCTAGCCCTCCTCCATGTGGCCTCTCAGGCCCCTGACTGCCTTGTCCCTCTGCTCTTTCCTGTATAGAGGAGATCGTGGCCCATGCCAGCAACGTGTCCTCGCTGGTGCTGGGCAAAGCCTCGGGCCGGCTGCTGGCCACAGGCGGGGATGACTGCCGTGTCAACCTGTGGTCCATCAACAAGCCCAACTGCATCATGGTGAGGCTCGGTCGGCAGGTGGGGCTGGGGAGAGGTGGGTGGGCAGGCCAGGGTTGGGGGCTGGGAGCCGGCAGCTTTGCAGGAACCCAGCACATCAGTGCCTTCCCCAGCTGTCTGCTCAAGAAGGCCCAGGACAACCCTGATGGCTGGGACAGTGACCCGTCCTTAGGAATGGGGTAGGGGGGAGGTCACCTGGCCATGGGACAGAACTCTGGGGAGCCTGCGTGAGAAGGCTAAAATAATCCCACAGACCCGAATTTGAGCCTCCCCTGCGCACTGGCCTATCCGCTTGCCTGTCAGTTACACGTGCGGCTGTTTTGATTCATTCCCCACCTCATTCCACAAAAAGGATCTGAGCGCCCCTGGTTGGAGCTGATTAGAGGACTGGTTCTTTGACAGTGTTACCGAACTTAGGTCTGGCTGCTCGCAGCTTGGAAGCCAATACTCGAGAGGCAAGTGTTGGTTGAAAGGTAAGGTTGCTTTATTCAGGAGGCCGGCAACTGGGGGGAAGGCAGACATGTATCCAATGGCCTACTCCCCCCCGTTGATCAGAGGGCAAGAACTTTTAAAGGAGAGTTTCAGTGGTATATAGGTGCTGGGAGGGTGCCATTGCAGAGCAGCACAGCCAGCTCTGACAGTCATCTTGAAATTGGTCATGCAGTGGTCTGATCAGCAGCATCTTTAGTACCGGGGCCTGTTTGTTCCCATTTCTTGGAGGCCAGTTCTTGGAAGCAGCTTATGTCATGGCTATAGTCTGGTCGTCATGTAGTCAACTTCTTTACCTGGTGGGAGTTTCAGTATCTACAGAAAAGCTCAAAAGATATGGTTCAGATTATTATACATAGCCCTTGAAGAGGAACTAAAGGTCCTTGACTTTGTGTAATGGCTAAGCTATTATTATTTGGTCTTGTTTGACTGCTTTCCTTGCTGCTTCTGCATTTTCCTCACTTCTCTGATTAAATTTATTCTTTGACAGAAGTTTCTCTACAGACAAAAGGCAGGCAGAGGACATGCTGGGAGGTGTGTCTGTCCTAGGAAGGCCCCATAGGGTCCTGCTCCATTTCAGTGGCACTCTCTCCCTGTACACAACTATATTCAACGCCAAGAACTGTTTTTCAATACAGGAAAGTGTAAAGGAGGGAAAAAACAAAAATGAATCACATATAGTTTGATTATCTAAAGACCATTACATTTGGTATTTTGGTCTGTGCCCTTCTAGGTACGCATGCATGTGTGTGCAGACTTGTGCCTGTATGTACACATGCACACATGCAAACATGCCTACGTGTACACACACACAAACGTATAATAGTATGTTTCCAGAACACTATCTTACTCTTCTGTAGCCTGTTTTTTTAAAAAAAAATAACAACACCGTCAGCATTTTCCTGTGTCAACAAATATCCTTTTACGATATGATTTCTAAAAGCTTCGCAGTATTTCATCGTAGGGATGAGCTTGGCCACGCCTGGTTCCCAGCGTGGAAGTCATTGCCGGTTTTTTGGCTCTGCTCAGCTGCAGTGGGGAACATCCTCCTCTCCCTAAATCTTTGAGCAGATCTGCGACCTTCACATTGAATCTGTGGGTGTGGCATGTTTTAAAAGGCTTTCAAAACATATTGCCAAACTGCCCTCTGGAAATCAATTTACATTCTCACCAGCAGCACAGAAGCCTGCCCTCTCCTGCCACAACCTTGCAGCACAGGGCAGTATCAGTCTTTTGACTCTTGGCCAAGTAAAGATAAAGATAAAAAGCAGCGGGAGGTGATATTTATTTATTTACTTATTTATTTGGTTGCATGGGGTCTTAGCTGCGGCAGTTGGGCTTCATAGTTGCGACTCACCGGCTCCTTCGTTGCGGCACGCGGGCTCCTTAGTTGCAGCTCCTTAGTGGTGGCACGCCGGCTCCTTAGTTGTGGCATGCATGTGGGATCTAGTTACCCGACCAGGGATCAAACCCCAGCCCCCTGCACTGGGAGTGCGGAAGTGCAGATTCTTATCCACTGCACCACCAGGGAAATCCTGGGAGGTGATATTTATTAGTAGAAACTAAATCAGCTCAGTGTTCTTGTGAGGTCCAGCGGACAGCTGAGATCTGACCCGAACCACGGCCAAAGTTAAGGACAGAACGGAAAGTGTTTTGCTTCACTTTGCTTTGGGGGTTCAAATGTGTTTCCCCTCTCTGAAATGCCAAAGTAACATACACCAATTGAAAAAGAATCAACAGAGGCTGACAAAAAATGGACCTGAAGTGGCCCCCATGCTCTCGCCCTCAGAACAGCACAGTGGACAGCGTGGGGTCTGGCCTCTAGACTAAGCCGCTTATACCAGGTGCCGCTCGCAGGCCTCCAGCAGGCCTCATCCCCTCACTCGCCACAGAGCAGGCCTCTCAGTGCCTCAAACTCACCAGGTTCTTTCTCACGTCAGGTGTATACACACGCTACCACCTCTGCAGGCAGTCTTTGCATTTCTGTGTGTTTTTGACTGTGAGTGAACTTGTATAGCTCCCTGACCCACACATCCCTCCCTGGAGACAACCGTGGCTCCCGATTCCTCTGTGTCCTTCCAGGATTGTTTTATACATTTGCAAGCAAATGTGTATGCCTGGTCCCCTTCCCCTTCTTAGTTTGCACAAATGCTATCGAACGACATATACTGTCCTCTACCTTTTCTCACCTAAGAGCGTTGTGGAGATTAGTCTTTCTCATATTCAGAGGGTGCCTCGTTCATCCTTGTGGCTGAATGCTATTCCATTGCATGGGTGGCCACAGCTTATCTAACCAATTCCCTGTGATGGGCATATATATTGTTTCCAGTCTCTTGTCAGATTTACGGCAAAGAATGACCTTGGGTCTGTGTTGTTTCACGTGTGTTGCGTGTGTGTGGGGTAAGCCCCAAGGTGGAGTGGCTGGTGTGCAGGGAATGTGCATTTCTAAATGTGGATAGATTTTTGCCTAATCGCCCTCCATGGAGTTTCTACCCATTTATACTCCTGCTGGTGATACTGGGGAGTCGGGCAAGCTGCTTGTAACTGTCTGGCCTTTGGGTCATTCTGCTGAGGAGCAGTTTTCCCCTACTGTCCCCAGTTCCCATGGGAACATGGTCTTAGCAAACGCTGATGGCATCACCACTGTGCATTCGGTGGCCAGTGCTGTACGGGGAGTGACAGACACCACGGATTTCAGATTCCAGCCTCCTCTCCAGAAAGCTGGAGGTGCCAACACCTCCCACCCCCATCCCTGGGCTCAGCCCTGCCCAGCTCTGGCCTGGTCTGAATTGGGGGGAGCCTCTGTGTCTCCCAGCAGAGTCACTCCCAGGTCCCCTGGGTTCCAGAGTCCCTGCCTGAGAACATGGCTGGGTCCTCCAGAGGGGGCCGCCCCTGGGGATCCGTGCATTCCAGAGGGGCTAGGTGTGTGCCGCTGACAAGCCAGGCCTCAGTTCTGCCGTGGTTTCCCCTCCTAAGGGCCGGGCCGGGCAGAGAGTGGAAATGGGAGCACAGCCCAAGTGGGCGATGCTTTGGACTTTGGACTAAAAGGTCAGCTGCCCCCCTCCGAGGGGCCCAGGGCCACTTCTGCAGGTGATGTTCATGTCAGGAGCACAGGGGTGATGGGTGGAGCATGACTGAGGTCTGGCCCACTTTTAGCCCTGGGAGCCGAGAGGCCTGGGGGTGGCTCGGTCTAGCACAGGATCCCTGCTTGACATGCCTCCCAGGGATCCAGATTTTAGGGCCATAGCTGGGGGTCTGTTCACGCAGAGTGCTGAAGCTGCCACCCTCTCTTCACAGAGCCTGACGGGTCACACGACCCCAGTGGAGAGCGTACGTCTCAACACCCCTGAGGAGCTCATTGTGGCCGGTTCCCAGTCGGGCTCCATCCGCGTCTGGGACCTGGAAGCTGCCAAAAGTAGGTGTCTGCACTTGCCTTCCCCCCACACACACCTGCAGTCGTGCATGTCCTTGGCTTTGCTGTCCAGCCGCTTCCTCCAGGAAGCCTGTCCTGACTAGGTTTGGTGCTTTTCTCCTGGGGGCACTGACCAGACAGTGTGGCGACTCCCCACCCCTGTTGACCTGGCAGCAGTGACGTGCATTGCTGTTTGAGTGCTGCCACTGAGGGGGCGTTCTGTAAATGTCTGAATGATGGACAAATGTGTGCATGGGTGGGTGGGTGTCTGTGGATTCAGAACCTGGAATGACATCAAGTGCCACCAGGGACCACGCAGGACTCGTAAATGAGTGAGGGGGCTGTGTGTGGAGAACGGGCTGTGTGTGTGTGCCTCGCTCCCGGGCGTCCCCACTCAGCTCCAGCTAACTGTTGCCTGCAGGAATGGGGCCTGGGCGGCCAGACTTTCTGTTTCCTTGTGCTTTGTTTGTTTTAATTTAGTTTTCATCTTTATAGAAGTTATGCATAGTCTAAAAAGGCAAATGCTGGTAGTTCACAAATGGTCACAATGGAAAGAGGAAGCCTTGCCCCATTCCGGCCCACTCTAGGGGCCTCAGCCTTCTGTCCTTTCACCTGGTGAGTGCTGATCGCCTCCGCTTTTCCAAACAATGTGGATATACTGCAGTTTCTTTTCTTTTTAAAAACACTTCATACATTAGCTGCACCATCCTCCTACAGAAAAGGAAAATTGAGCTCTCTGTGCTACCCCGGCTCTGTCACTCACAACATTTCCCCCCCATCCTCCCTGAATCACCTTTTAAATACTCAGTGTTTATGTTATCAGGACCTATAGGTATTATTCAGAGCTGCCTGTATGTATTTCTTTTCTTTTGATAATTTTGTCTCCCTGGAATTAATAGTTGTTCTATCTCTTTTTCATCTGCATGTTTTCTGTGTCATCGTTACTAATCCAGCCCCAACTTCTCTGCCAGAAGAGTAAGCCTCCTCCTTGAGTTTACCCCCAAACCCATCCCATCATTGAGGTGTCTCTTCCCAGAGCCTCTGTCCCCAGGTCCTAGTGGCCTGGGAGCTCCCAGGCCTGCAGCCCAGCTGCCATCCTGGGGCCCTTGTCTCCTCCCCGGGGAACTCTCTCCGACTCTGCCACACCGGATCCCACGTTGTCACTTTTCTTGGTTCCCCGACTCTTTTAGGTGCGGCACATCCTTTCATAGCTTACTGTGAAAGGGTACACTGCAAGCACAGTTTTAGAGGCTGAAAATGACTTTATTCTTTTCTTTTTTGTAAGTTTATTTATTTTATTTTTGGCTGCGTTGGATCTTCCTTACTGCGTGTGGGCTTTCTCTAGTTGTGGTGCGTGGGCTTCTCCTTGCATTGGCTTCTCTTGTTGCAGAGCACAGGCTCTAGGCACATGGACTTCAGTGGCTGTAGTGCGTGGGCTTCAGTAGTTGTGCCATGTGGGCTCAGTAGTTGTGGCTCATGGGCTCTAGAGCGCAGGCTTAGTAGTTGTGATGCACAGGCTTAGTTGCTCCGTGGCATGTGGGATCTTCCCGGACCAGGGCTCGAACCCGTGTCCCCTGCATTGGCAGACGAGTTCTTAACCACTGACCCACCAGGGAAGTCCCTGAAAATTACTTTATTCTAAAACCCACCCCCCTTTTATTTTTAAGAGTTTGAGTATAGAATTCTAGGTTGGGAATACTTTTCCCTCCGAATTGTGAAGGTGCAGCTCCGTTGCCTTTTAGGTTCCAGGGTTGCTGTGGGGAGGTCAGTGCCGTCTCATCCCAGATCCCTCTCATGGGACCTGCTTCTTTCCTCCTTCTGCCTCTCTCTCTTTACAGGTTTGTAGGATCTTTGTCCCAGCGTCCTCAGGTTTCACAGAATAGGCCTTGGTGGGCCTATTCTCATCCCTATGCTGGATCCTCATTGGGATCTTTTGGTCTGTAAACTTATGCCCTCAGTTCTGGGCCAAGTGCGGAGTCCTGCCTTCCCTGGAAGGGGGGCTCCTCTCAGCCTTGCTGGCTGTTGCTACACAGCAGTCTGGGCACAATGTTGCCAGCTGTACAGATTTTTCAAGTGAAGCTGGGAATCTGGACATTTATGTGGAATCCACCCATTTCTGAAGGTTGACAGCTAATTCAGCATATTTTTCAAGGGCTTCCCTGGCGGCACAGTGGTTAAGAATCCTCCTGCCAGTGCAGGGGACACAAGTTCTAGCCCTGGTCTGGGAAGATCCCACATGCCGCAGAGCAACTAAGCCCGTGCGCCACAACTACTGAGCCTGTGCTCTAGAGCCTGTGAGCCACAACTACTGAACCCGTGTGCCACAACTACTGAAGCCCGTGTGCCACAACTAGTGAAGCCTGCACACTAGAGCCCGTGCTCTGCAACAAGAGAAGCCACCGCGAGGAGAAGCCCGCGCACCGCAACAGAGCAGCCCCCGCTCGCCACAACTAGAGAAAGCCCGCGTGCAGCAGTGAAGACCCAACGCAGCCAAAAATTAATTAATTAATCAATTAATTAAAAAAAACATATTTTTCAGAATACTCTGCAGGCTGACAGAGGTCCAAGTAAAACCTGTTTGCTCCCTGCTTTTTGCCAACCTCTAGTCTGGACCTTCCAGCATGCCAGGCGGGAGGCCATCCCCTACCTGAAGGACAGGAGAGGAAAGGGTGACATGGATTTTGCCGAGTCTGCCTCTTCCAGAAGAGATGCCCCCCTTGCCTGGCTGAGACTTAAAGGTCATTCCAGGCCTCTACTCTGGTGCTTGCTCTACCTCTGCTGCAGGATGGCGGCCATTGGCCATGCATGCCTGGTGGCCGGGTTCATCCTGCTCTTGTATAGGTGATCCTCAAGAAATGACCTCAACCTGAGCCTCTTGGGTGGTGCTTGCCCACCCAGTGACGGGCTGTTTAAGAAAGACAGAACCCCGGGACTTCCCTGGTGGTCCAGTGGTTAAGAATCCGCCTTCCAGTGCAGGGGACACGGGATCAATCTCTGGCCAGGTAGCTAAGATCCCACATGCTGTGGAGCAACTAAGCCTGCGCGCTGCAACTTCTGAGCCTGCGCACTCTGGAGCCCACGTGCCACAGCTAGAGAGCCTGCGTGCGGCGACTAAGACCCGATGCAGCCATAAATAAATAAACAGACAGAGTCCCAGGCTCTCTTAGATAATAAACAGGGGCTGAGTGCTTAGCATCTCAGCACACGGTTAAATAAATTTATTTATTTATTTATTTTTAAAAAAGCAGAAGAAGAAGACAGAGTCCCAGGCCCTCTTAGGTCATGAAGAGAGGCTGCATGCTTCACATCTCAGCACGCGGTCCCACTGCCTGGCCACACACAGGACCCACAGTGCGGGGGCATCGCTGGACAAGGGGCCAGGGAGGAGCAAGCCTGGGCTGGCTGGGCTCCAGCTGAGAAAGCAGAAAGGCTTGGGCAGAAGGCGGTTCATTTCCTGGGAAGCCTCTGCCTGGACCCAGATCCCAGTGGGGGGCACCAGCCATTCACCTTTCACTGAGGAGCAAGGGAAAAAGAGAGTGCTCTGCAACAAGAGAAGCCACCGCGAGGAGAAGCCCGCGCACCGCAACAGAGCAGCCCCCGCTCGCCACAACTAGAGAAAGCCCGCGTGCAGCAGTGAAGACCCAACGCAGCCAAAAATTAATTAATTAATCAATTAATTAAAAAAAACATATTTTTCAGAATACTCTGCAGGCTGACAGAGGTCCAAGTAAAACCTGTTTGCTCCCTGCTTTTTGCCAACCTCTAGTCTGGACCTTCCAGCATGCCAGGCGGGAGGCCATCCCCTACCTGAAGGACAGGAGAGGAAAGGGTGACATGGATTTTGCCGAGTCTGCCTCTTCCAGAAGAGATGCCCCCCTTGCCTGGCTGAGACTTAAAGGTCATTCCAGGCCTCTACTCTGGTGCTTGCTCTACCTCTGCTGCAGGATGGCGGCCATTGGCCATGCATGCCTGGTGGCCGGGTTCATCCTGCTCTTGTATAGGTGATCCTCAAGAAATGACCTCAACCTGAGCCTCTTGGGTGGTGCTTGCCCACCCAGTGACGGGCTGTTTAAGAAAGACAGAACCCCGGGACTTCCCTGGTGGTCCAGTGGTTAAGAATCCGCCTTCCAGTGCAGGGGACACGGGATCAATCTCTGGCCAGGTAGCTAAGATCCCACATGCTGTGGAGCAACTAAGCCTGCGCGCTGCAACTTCTGAGCCTGCGCACTCTGGAGCCCACGTGCCACAGCTAGAGAGCCTGCGTGCGGCGACTAAGACCCGATGCAGCCATAAATAAATAAACAGACAGAGTCCCAGGCTCTCTTAGATAATAAACAGGGGCTGAGTGCTTAGCATCTCAGCACACGGTTAAATAAATTTATTTATTTATTTATTTTTAAAAAAGCAGAAGAAGAAGACAGAGTCCCAGGCCCTCTTAGGTCATGAAGAGAGGCTGCATGCTTCACATCTCAGCACGCGGTCCCACTGCCTGGCCACACACAGGACCCACAGTGCGGGGGCATCGCTGGACAAGGGGCCAGGGAGGAGCAAGCCTGGGCTGGCTGGGCTCCAGCTGAGAAAGCAGAAAGGCTTGGGCAGAAGGCGGTTCATTTCCTGGGAAGCCTCTGCCTGGACCCAGATCCCAGTGGGGGGCACCAGCCATTCACCTTTCACTGAGGAGCAAGGGAAAAAGAGAAGCCAAGGGCCCTGATTTCTCAGCCATGACTTTCATGCATAAGGGAATGTGAGGAATTTCTTGAGGTGGGCAAAGAATGGAAACTGAAGACCTCTGGAATTCCTGAGCCCTGGACTCCCAGAGCTGGCTGCTCTACAAGGAGCTTGTTACACAGCTCAGACCCCACTTCCGGAGAGCCTGACTCAGTAGTGGGATGGGCCCAGACTCTGGCTTTCTTAAGCTTCTAGGTGGTTCTGATGCAAAGCCAGGTCGGCACTGTCTCCTTATATGACAGATGGACAAACTGAGGCTCAGGGAGGGCCCTGAACTTGATAATCAAGACTCTGTGGCTGGGGGTGGCAGAATCTGGGACTCGAATCCTGGTGTCAAGACTCCCATCCCAGTGTTGTCCGCCTTGCCATTTGCGGGGGGTTCAGCGATGGAAGAGAAACTTGCCCGTAGCATCCTCGGCAGGAAGAGCTAAGACCTCAGGCCCACCTCCACCCCCAACCCACCACAGTGTGAATGGAAATGATACAGAGGCAAACTGGCATCCCACATGCAGGAAGGGGTTCTTAAAGGGCTTCCTTACTGTCACATCAGTTGCCCATCACTGGAGGGTTCAGCTACTCGGCTGCAAGGGTTTAGAGATTCCCATGTGGGTCAGACAGACCCCGGAGACCCCTCCACTCTGCAGCTCCTGGATCCTGCGACCAAGTCCGGCCTCAGGAGGCCTGCCGAGAGCCCTCCTGGGACAGAAGACCAAGGGCAGAAATCACGCCGGAAGAATGTGTTCCTGCCTGCTTTCCACAGAGCAGCCAGAGGGTGAGGGTGGCTCAGCTCAGGATCCCACAGGAAGGCATGCTTCATGAATGTGAACCTGCCACATCCTCTCAGGGTGGGCCAGGACTTTGGAAGCCTGGCTTGTGGGATGCAAAGCAGGTGGGCTGGCGGGGGTGGTGTGGACTGGGGCAGGAGCCAGACGAGTCTCCTCCCTCCAGGGCCTGGACTGGGCAGCATGTGTCCGAAGTCCCCTTGGCCAGCCAGGCAATGCTGAGCCCCCGAGACAACTACAGGGAGTGAGGAGGGCAGCTGCTCAGGTTTTGGTGCGGTTGAATCTTGTCCTTTAGGCATTACATCTGGGGTCTGCTTGAACACCTCCTCCAACAGACAGCTCACCACCTCACAAGGCAGCCTGTTTCACCTTGGCGCAAACCTAAGGATGGCTGGACTGCCACACCCCTTGGCACCAGCACTCCTGGGGTGGACAGTTTCATTCAAACAGCTGAATTATAAATCTTATAAAAAGCAAGATACATGACGCCAGAGAGAAGAGGCAGACTTGAGTGGTACCAGAGAACACTGAGACAGAAACGCAAGGTTTGCCTGCAGCCTTCCTCATCTGCCACCCACTAACATCCTGTTCAACGACCACCGCCTCCAAAAAGCCCCCCTGGATTTCTCTTTTCAACCTAGCAGCTTCTCCCCCAGCTTGGACCTCTCCTGCGTCTCTCTCCTTGCACTGTCTCGGGTGTGGTGGGATGCCTGGCAGACCATAAGCTCCACGTCCACATCCACAGGGCCTGAGCCAAGTACAGTAGTTACCTGGCTCTGCTGACTCTGGGGCTTCACTCTCATGAGAGCATGCTGGGACAAGCCCAGAGGTGCAAGCTGCGGGGAGCTTGCAGGGAGTTTTCTGAGGGCTCGGGTAATGGCAGAAATGGCTAGCATCTCTCGAGAGGAAAATGGGAAAGTTAGTTGTTAGGGTGGTAGGACTCTGGTTGATTTTTCTCCCTGTTGTGAAAGTCTGTGCTACTGTTGTGTTTTTCTGTGCAGTCAGTATGAAAGCACACACACAAACGAACACAACAGCCCTTGCTCCACCAGCCATCCTGTTTGCCTCTCACACCATTGTCTCTGCTCTCTTCCTTGTTAGTCCTTCGCACACTTATGGGACACAAAGCCAACATCTGCAGCCTGGATTTCCACCCGTATGGCGAGTTTGTGGCCTCGGGTTCCCAGGACACGAACATCAAGGTGAGCCACCACTCTGCACCCTGGCTCTCCCGCTGGGCCAAGCAGCGGGACTGGGACGGTGTGTCCCATCTGGGGTGGGGGGGTGGGCGGGCTTCGGCTCTTCAGGGGACATCTTCCCCGTGTGGCAGCATCCATGCCCTCCCAGGGCAGGGATGTGGAAGCGTTTGCCAGACATTTCTGCTCGGGATGCCCAGCTTTAGTGAGTGGTTTCCAGACCCCTGTCACTTGGAGGTATAATGACCTGTAGGTGCCCAGAGCCCCTCTCTGCTCATGGCCACATGTTACCCTCCGACCCAGGCTCCAGGACTTAGCTTGACTAGGCCTCCCCAGCCCAGCCCACCTTGGTTGTGACCTGTCCTGACCCTGCCCTCCTCTGCTCCTCTCCTCACAGCTCTGGGACATCAGGAGGAAAGGCTGTGTCTTCCGATACAGGGTAAGCAAGGCACCCTCTGTCCGTCATTCCACAAGCACCTTGCAGGCGCGGAGCATGGGGTGGTGCCCAGACCCTGGCAGGGGCTGGAGGGGACTGTTGTCCAACCTGGGTGAGAACATGAGAAACAAGTGTCCAGATGAGAAACATGCATCTGGAGCAGAGCAGGAGTGCGGTGGGTGGTCCACCTGGAACCCCGGCTTTCCGTGACTCCCCGCAGAGCTGTGTTTACCAAACTGTGCTCCACGGTTTGCAGGCTGCTAACAGGTGTCATTAAGTGAAGGGGGTTCCTGTTCATGAGTTTGGAAGGACTGGGTTTAATCATTATTTTGGGGGGTTTCTAGACCCTTTGACATTAAGAGGAGGCATTTAACTCTCCAAAAAGAGACACAAGACACATTGCTTCCCAAACTGTCAGACCACGCAGTGTTGATTTCCTGGAGCGTCCTGCAGGACTGGGGGTCCGTGACCGCATGTGGAGAAGTGTCCCTCTGTGACATCTCCCGCATGTGGCTGTCAGTCCCCTCCTTGCCTGCTCCCAGGAAGCACTGCTTATGGAGGGCAGGGAGGAGTGGGTGGTGGGGAGAGAAGTCCGCTGGGCCCAGGCCCCTCGGGTGCTCACGCTCTGTCCTCCCGTCAGGGGCACAGCCAGGCCGTGCGGTGTCTCCGGTTCAGCCCCGACGGGAAGTGGCTGGCATCAGCCGCAGATGACCACACGGTGAAGGTAGGTCCCGGCCTGACCCAGGCCCAGGGCTGGGGACTGGGGTCTGCTGATCACACTCAGGTTGGGTCCTCACCTCCCTCCTGATCAGGCTCGCACATCCCGAGCCTGCCCAGAGTGGGAGGTGGTTCGTGGATAAAGAGCTCGGGCTGGATTGGAGGGCGAGCGGGCAGCTGAGGGCCAGGCTGGCCCTGACCTCCACCGTGGCCTGCCCCAGCTCTGGGATCTGACTGCTGGCAAGATGATGTCCGAGTTCCCTGGCCACACGGGGCCTGTCAACGTGGTGGAGTTTCACCCCAATGAGTACCTCCTGGCTTCTGGCAGCTCTGACAGGTGAGGAGAAGCAGGGCTCGTCGCCCGTGACTGCTGTCCCTCACATCCCTGTCCTCTGGCGTATATCTGTCCCCAGTCTGTCTCTGTGTCCCAGGGTGTCATATGATCCCAGGTAGGCTGAATTAACTGCTAGCCAAGCTGGGATGGGACCCGGGTCACATCTCTCTCCCAACTCTGGTTCCCTGGCCCCAGTGTCCTGGGACTTCATGGTATGTCTGGATCCGGCCCCAGTGTCCTGGGACTTGATTGCGTGTCTGGATCCAAGGCCCATATTCACCTCCCAGGTGCCGAGTCCCCTCTTGCTGCCTGTGCAGGGCCAGCCGTGGCCCCAGGCATTGCTCTGAATGGCCGTGACCTGGGGCGGCAGGTGTCTGGAGAGAAGGGGGCCTGTGTGGAGGCCAACACATGGCATTGGCTTCCCAGCACAGCCTGGCTTCCCTTGCAGGACCATCCGTTTCTGGGATCTGGAGAAATTCCAGGTGGTGAGCTGTATCGAAGGGGAGCCAGGGCCTGTCAGGTAGGCGGGCTGCTGGGCAGTGGGCCAGGGCCCTCCTCCCGGGCAGTGGGGTGTGGCTGCAGGTGGACCTTTCCCATCTCCGCTTCCGCTCCCTCCCGTCCTGGGCTCCCCGCAGCCTCTCCGGTGTCTCCTGACCCACGGCCCACTCTCGCCTGGCCCAGGAGCGTCCTCTTCAACCCCGATGGCTGCTGCCTGTATAGTGGCTGCCAGGACTCACTGCGTGTCTACGGCTGGGAGCCCGAGCGCTGCTTTGACGTGGTCCTCGTCAACTGGGGCAAGGTGGCCGACCTGGCCATCTGCAATGACCAGCTGGTGAGAGAGCCACCGCCCACCGTGCACCCTTCCGCTGGGCCGCTCGCCTGCCTCCCCCTCAGGCCCCCAACTCCCACCCAGCCCCGGGGGTGTCCTGCCCACCCCCCCACCCCATCCCCCCATCCCCCAGCACCACCGCGAAGGGTCCCGCCCCAGCTCTGCCGCTTCCCGCAGATAGGTGTGGCCTTCTCCCAGAGCAGCGTCTCCTCTTACGTGGTGGACCTGACGCGGGTCACCAGGACCGGCACGGTAGCCCCGGAACCCATGCAGGACAGCCAGCCCCCGGCGCAGCAGCCGCCAAACCCCAGCGTCCCGCTTCGGCGCATCTACGAGCGGCCCAGCGCCACCGGCAGTGAGCCTCAGAGGTGGGGTGCTCGGGGCCCCGGAGGGCGCTGTGGGGCGCAGGAGGCGGGCCCGCAGCCCCTGCCTCACCGGGGCCCCTGCCTCCTTTCGGCCCGGCCTGCTCCCCAGGGTGAAGCAGAACTCAGAGAGCGAGCGCCGCAGCCCCAGCAGCGAGGATGACCGGGATGAGCGGGAGTCTCGGGCGGAGATCCAGAACGCCGAGGACTACAACGAGATCTTCCAGCCCAAGAACAGCATCAGTGAGGCCCGGGCCCTCCCCTCCGAGCCCCAGCGTTCCCCTCTGTGAAAGGGAGGCAGATGGTCCTTTCTGGGGATGGCGTCCATGTTGCTGCACTCCCTTAGCTTAATTCCTAACCCATGTCTGGGCCCGGGCTCTGTTCCCAGGTCCTCTAGGCCCCAGCAGAGGCCCAGCAGCTGCTCAGTGCTCGGCCTGCCCCGAGCAAAGGAAGGCCCAGTGGGGCAAGGGGCCAGGGAGGGGCAAGCCTGAGGGTTCAGGGCCCGGGAACGGGTCGGTCTGCAGCTGTGTGCGCGCCTGGGAACCACCTTGCATCCGCCGCATCCTGACGGGCCCAGGGCCCCCGGCTGGCTGGGCCCTGAGGGCTCAGACAACAGCCCTGGGCTGACCCACATGAGTCCCCAGCCCCCTTTACCTCTGCAGGTCGGACGCCACCCCGAAGAAGTGAGCCCTTCCCAGCACCCCCGGAGGATGGTGAGTCGGGGGGCAGAGCCTGGCCTCCCAGGGTCCCCAGCTCCCTAGTCTTCCCCTCCCACAGCACAGTTTCCAGCCTCTCTCCCACTGGATCTTTTCCCTCCACTCGCCCAAAAGCACCTGCTGTGTGCCAGGCCCTAGTGATTGAGCGTGAAAAGGCAGGTAGGTGCCCCCGTCAGGAGCCCACACCCAGTGAGGAAGGCGAATGGTAGGCAGCCACAGGGGAGGAAGGAGCCGGGAGTGGTGAGAGGCTCTGGGGCCCGTGCAGATGGGGGGCCGTGAGGCTCTGAGGAGGCGGCACATCAGGCAGGCCTGGGGGCCAGGTGAGGAGACAAGGAGGGAAGAGCCTCAGGTGGGAGGGAGCCAAGAGGACAGCGGGGGCTTGGGGTCCGGGAGCAGGAGGCCAGGCCTTGCAGGCCCTGGGTTTGGGGGGCTTGGGGTTTTGCTGCTGGAGGGTTTAAGAAGGGAGAAAACCTGATCTGCTCACTTACAATTGGAGAAGGCGGCCGGGCGGGGCACCCTCATCCTCCAGCCCATCCCTCCCTCCCCTGCTTTCTCCTCAAGGGGCCATCCTCTCGTGCCCCTCGGGCTGGGTTCCTGAAGGGCCTCTCTGTCTCCCGCGCTCCCACTCACCATCCCCTATCCACTCATCGCTCCCCTCTCAAAAACACTCCTTTCCTAGTGAGGCAACAGGAGCGCCACCCCCTGGAGCTCCCTGGGTCCTGTCCACACATAGTGCTTGGCACCTGCTTTCTACCACCCTGTGGCTGAGTGGGTGGTAAGGGAGGGGACAGGCCCATCCTCGGCCCCCAGGCCTCCCGTCAGAGGTGCCGCCCACAGCCTCAGCCCCAGCCCTGCCATCTGCCCGCCCGCCCGTCCCTTCTCATGGCCTGACCTGACCCACTGATCTTTCCCTTCCGTCTCCAGACATGGCCACAGCCAAGGAGGCAGCAAAGCCCAGCCCAGCCATGGACGTGCAGTTCCCGGTGCCAAAAGTATGTCCAGGTGGAGCGGGCAGGGTGTGGGGCTCGGAGAGGGGCCAGAGTCCTGAATCGGCGCTGGGGTGGCCCTTGCTGAGCCCTGGACCCCTCCAGCTCGAGGTCCTGTCCCGGCCCCCAGTCGTCACTTCCACCCCTGCACCCAAGGCTGAGTCTGCCATCATCCCTGCCACCCGGAATGAGCCCATCGGACTGAAGGCCTCCGACTTCCTGCCTGTGAGTGGGGGGCCCAGGCTGAGGGCGGGTGGAGGCCCGTGGGGTGAGGGCAGAACTTGGCTGCCAGCATCAGGGCACCCGTCACATGCAGGCCGTGAAGATCCCCCAGCAGGCGGAGCTGGTTGACGAGGATGCCATGTCACAGATCCGCAAAGGCCATGACACCATGTGTGTCGTGCTCACTAGCCGCCACAAGAACCTGGACACCGTGCGGGCCGTGTGGACCACGGGTGACATCAAGGCAAGTGCCACCTCTGCCCGGGTTTGGGGTTGAGAAGAGGGCTTCCCGAGGGGCACAGGGGGAGCTAGGTGGCCCCTGTCACCACGCCGAGCAGTCTTATGACCAGCCCGCAGTAAATCCCATCATCACGCCACACCCAGGCAGGGCCACTCAGTCCCCGGTCCCCTCTGACGGGTGCTCTGTTTGCACAGACGTCGGTGGACTCGGCCGTGGCCATCAATGACCTGTCCGTGGTCGTGGACCTCCTTAACATTGTCAACCAGAAAGCGTAAGTGGCTATGGCGGGGGGTGGGGGGAGTGGGCAGGGCCGGGCACTGAGGGCACGTGTCCCTGGCCCTCTCCCCAGCTCCCTGTGGAAGCTGGACCTATGCACCACCGTCCTGCCACAGATCGAGAAGCTTCTGCAGAGCAAGTATGAGAGGTACGGGTGGGGAAGCCGCACCTGCCTCCCAGCAGGGAGGGACCGTGGGAAAGACCCCCAGGGCCGGTGCCCTTGTGAGGTGGCCGTGCAGCATTGTTGGGCCCTCCAAATTTGAGAGGACAGAGTGAAAATGAGCCCATGCTGCCTCTCTGATCCTGTTTCTGCCCCCTTTGTCTCTGTGTACCTTGCTCTCTGTCTATTTGTGACTCCATCTATCCCCCTGCCTCTGAAGCTATGTCCAGACGGGCTGCACCTCTCTGAAGCTGATCCTGCAGCGGTTTCTGCCCCTGATCACAGACATGCTGGCGGCCCCGCCCACCGTTGGTGTGGACATCAGTCGGGAGGAGAGGTGAGGAGCCAGCGGCGTGTGTGGCAGGGGTGCCACGTCAAGCGAGAGCACAGGCCTGGGGGCCCAGCCTGCTTGTTGGTGGTCCTGC